CATTGAAATCAAACATGGTAAACGAACAAACAAATGATGGATGCGATTGATAGAACCTTTTTTAACACTCTAGTATGCAATGCAGTAAGCTAACCATAGGCAAAATTGAACGAAACGTCTTTCTCCTTTTTGTTGACCTGGCGGCGGAATGCGTTGAGTCTGCTCTGATGTCAAAAACAAGGAATCACGCGAGGAAAGGTAAGACTTCGTTAACAAAACCCTTTGGGTTTTCGTTTGGCCTACTAGGTAATGGCGAAGTGACGGAGCATTTATAAGTCAAAAATGTTTAGTACGCCGGGGTGCGTGATCTAACCTAGCGCGATTTGTATAATTTTGAATCTTTTCAAAAGAGTTAGGTTGAAAAAAAACAAAACCAAAAAACAACAACAAAAAAAACACAAGAAAAAAAGGCAAACATTTTCGGCGTGGCGCACTTTATCATTATTTCAGCGCTAATAATATGTACCTGGTAAAAGACATGAGATGCAAATGATCAGATATACTGTTTGAGGTATTTTACAAGATAAAATAGGATGTATTTAACATCATGAAAATCATCATTATCAGCTCAATTTTGACTTTTGAAGACTTATTTAATATGCGAACTTTCAATCAATTACCACTGAGTCACTGAGCATTGTTATTATGTGGCGGAGAATTAGACAATCCGAATCGTTCTCTAGTATTTTCGAATTTTGAAGCTGAATCGTATTACTTGCCATGCGAGAAACAAGTCTGTACCTTTGAAGCAGACAATCAAACATTTTAAAAAGCGATTCCTTTGCAGTAAGATGTTAGCCCCTAGAAATGAGTTTGCTAAACTCATTTTCAATCTAGTCGAGCCGTTTACTGGTCACTATATAGTTGACCAAAAAACTTCGCTACCTTCTATTTTTGATTCTAATTTGCAACTTCCTCATGCATGCATGGAAATGGAAGGCAAATTTTTTCAAAAGAAAAATGTTATCGGTTAATTTTTTTTTATTGACCATTATCTATTCAAAAATTTATGCTGTGATTCATTTTCATTTTTCGCTAATTTAAAAGAGTGAGAGGTACTTTTAGCGATAACATTCTCGGCACATTTATGGATAAGTGATATCTGTTCTCAGAAAGTTACGGGTCCTTCAAGACGGCGAGTTACGCTTCCGGAGTTATACTGAGTTGAGTTACCTCACAGTGAGTTCGGGGGTGCTGCACAATAGGGCATCGTGTTAGAGAATTTTACGCAAAAGTCCAGAAGGACAATTTTACTAAACAACTTTATTTTGATTCAACATCGATCCAAATAAAAAAATAAAAAACTCGGAAGGCTTTGAATTCCATTTGCGTATCTTATGTCTCTGTATATTTAAAGGTTGTTTAATTGTTGTATTTAATGTATTTTCTTAATTTTAATTCTTTTTTTTGTCATACACGAACCTTTAAGGATGCATTTCCTTTCAACAAAATTGTGTATATGTCCAACGTAATTGTTTGATGCAAAAAATGAATGTATGGACTCCGCATTAGGAGTACGGAATCTAAACGCAACATTGGGTCATTATTAATACTTAAAGGCCAGACCTAATTCCACTATTAGTCAGGTTTTATTATAGGGGTAAATAAAATTTTATCTTATCAAAGCGTGGACGCGATACCCCTCACTTACAGTAGATCTAGCTCCTCGCGCAGTATGGACTGACACTTCGTAATCATACGTACATGTTGTTAAATGGCTCAGTCGAAGAAATTTCGCGTTGATTGTCTTTCCTTGCAAACTGCTTGCAAGTAGAGTAAAAACAAAAGCAAACAGGCAGCTGACGTACATTGCTGGGGCCCAAAAAAACTGCCTCGATGTTTTGCTTGCTACGTAAAAAATGATAAAAGAACTATGCAAAGAATTTTAGAAAAAAAAAAGAATGCCCAACAACCAATATCGTTTGTTTGGTTTCCGTTTAAGCTTCCACGAAATTGCGGTCTTACTGATTTGTGGTTTAGATAATTAAAGTGATGCATTAAATACGTCAGTACCTTGTTTTTTCTCAAATCCGTTTTTAAAGTAACAATGAAGAAAGGCTTGTAAACATTCTTCAAATCAACATATTGTTGGCTGTCCTTTATAAGGCAGGAAGGAACTTGTTCTTCAGTAGTTTTAGAGCTGGAAACAGCAAAAGAGACATTGCCTTGGGGGAAATGGGGGGGGGGAGGGACGGTGGGGCTGTACTCAACAAAGTTTTACACGGGCAGGCTCCGCTGCGTGGTCTAAACCCTTATACCCCTTTCGTATGGCGTTGTATTGACAAATGGTACCCCTCTCACCTACAAAGTTTAGAACTTTCTATCCCTTTTAACTGCTGTAAATGCACTTTACCCTTTCATATACCTCAACTGATGATATTCCGCCTACCCTTTCATATACCTGAAGTGTGTGAAAAGCCGGTGCCCTTGTTTAAAAAAGTAAAAACAATCACAAGAAATTGACATTGAAAACTAGACGCTAACTACAAAATAGATAAATGTACACAATAGATAAAATAAATAAATAAATAAATAAATAAATAAAATAAAAGCATCACGATTCATAAGCTCGCATAAAAAGAAATGTTTTAAGTTCGCGTTTAAAATCATCAATTGAGTTTGCAGATTTAATATCCTCAGGAAAGTTATTCCAAAGTTCCGGAGCAGCAACAGCTCGTTTACCATACGAATTGAGTTTAAACTAGGGTTTAACTGATAAATTTCTATTTGAGGATCTAAGATTGCGGCTGGGTGTATATTGAAGGAGTTCCTGTATATAGATTGGAGCTCGATCATGTAGTACTTTGTAAGTAATTAACATAATTTTAAATTCAATACGAGAGGAGACAGAGAGCCAGTGAAGATCCCTCAGTACTGGAGTAATATGGCAAAATCTTGGACACTGGTTGACAAGGCGAGCGGCAGAATTTTGAACATGTTGAAGCTTTCGCATAAGATAGGATGGTAGGCCGTACAATATAAAGAATTACTTTACTACGAAGGCATGAATAATGATCTTTGCAGCATCATAAGTAAGATATTTGCGTATGAAACCAGTGTTACGAAGATGGAAAAAGGACGATTGACATGAAATCACTCAAGGAAAAGGTTCTCAATAGAACCCGTTACAACAAATAATCCCCGAATCTCCTGTACTTGTTTCGAAGGCTTTGCGACGAATCTCGTTATCCAATAAATTTTTATCATCATTCGCTTCGGGTTTTTCCTAGCGCAGGGACTTGCCGGTATGCAAGTTATATTTGCAAGTATAGATCTGAATTCAAGTGAGCTCGGTTATGATTTTGTTTCGATTGTTTGCACGAAATTATTTGAAAGTACATTTAAGCGAATTTTTTTTTCAGTTAAAGCAACTCCTACTGAATACTCCATCGCACTGTACTTTATTAATTGCTATCATCTTTTTCATTGTGCATCAGTAATTGTTCATACGGTACAAAAACAATTAAAAACCCGTTACGAAAAATTGAACTGATGAGTTAAATGCAACGAGCAAATAAAAGCAATGAATATATAACAGTTGACCCTTTGCAATGGCCTCAGTTCCATTGACAAAGTTTGTAGGGTTATATCCACAAACCCTTACACCCCAGTAACGCTATTGGTACCTTCTACATTAATATCATGTACCTTTCCAGTCTGAGATTTAAAGTACTCTCAAGCATAATCAATCATTCCACTATCAGTTACTTCATTGAAATAATTCTAATTAAATGAATTGTAGCTTACCAAAGCATGAACGCGGTATCCCTCACTTGCTATAGACTTGGCTCCTCTCGCAGTATGGACTGACACTTCATAATCATATGTACAAGTTGTTAAATGGCTCAGTCGCAGAAATTGCTCATTGATTGTCTTTCCTTGCAAACTGTTTGCGAGTAGAGTAACGACACAAGCAAGAAGGCACTTGACGTACATAGCAAGGGCCGAAATAAACTTTCTCGGCTAGCTTCGGCTTTTACTGCTTTCTAATCACAACTGCCATTTATTAAACAATGCAGCTAATTCAGCTGCAACGGCTTTTTTTCGTCGCCCAGCATCCACGGAACGCGGTTTTATTCCCGCCTTCCGTTTAAGCTTCCACAAAACGAGTCGTTTGTGTAAAAAGGCGACCAAATTTAACATAAACATCATTATTTTCACGCATCGATGTACAAAAATCAATGAAAAAACCTCAGATTAAATCATTACAATTGTCTAAGAGCAACCCCGTTGTGACGCAAATAGCTTCAGCGCAAACAGGAACTCTATAAGTTATAATTAAACTAGGCGTTCTGGCTCCAGTTGTTCAAACGTTTTTTAGCGCTATCCAAGAGATAAATCACTTTCCAGCGGAATATGTATGATAACGCGATTAGTTTCCTTTTCAATTGGATTCCTTTTAAGAGATTTTTATAGATTTATTTATAGCATTATCTACCTGTAGAACAACTGGAGCATGTCCATGATTTCAGGGAATTTCAATAAATAACAGCGGCTGCGTCTATTAGTTTCAATTAATAATACAACAAATTCCCCGAAGCTGAAACAGCAGAGCTTCCTGTTCTCGCATGCCTAAAATGCTTATTAACAGAATTTGAAGTAAGGAAAATGCGTACGAGTGCTTACTTAATAAAATTCTCGACTTCATAGTTTGATTTGTAAAAACCCGGCTAAATGAAAACAGCAAAAAATCAAGCCATTCTTAAATGATACTGTTAGTTACCAACGAATGTAAGCATCGTAAGTAATCGAGCAAGAATATTTTGGAGCGAAGACTTAAGATCATGCTAATGAAAGTGATTAGAATCTATTTACCATCAAAATAGTCAGAGGTACCGTAAAAAGTGTATGGAAAAGACGAACTTGTTCACGCGTCGATAAACACCGAAAGCGGAAGTTTTCAATTTTGCATTAATTCAGTCTTCTGTGATTTAAAAAGAGGGATCATCTAAGACCAGAACCAATAATTAAGTAACCTGTGCCAGAATAGGAAAGCAAACATGAAAAGAGCTTTCATTATAATTTGCGCACTACTTTTGATTATGGAGGCAAATTCCATTTTCTGGCGAAGAAGAAGACGACGGAGGTCTCCTCCGCCTTGCAGCGCTGTAAATTGTCTCGTCGATAGCTGGACAAGTTGGAGTTCTTGTTCGCGTCAGTGCGGTACTAGCGGTACACGGGAGAGGACACGGCAGATAACGCGCGTCGAGTCCTGTGGTGGAACATGTTCTTACGTGTTACGGCAAACGGAAGCGTGCAACCGGGATTCCTGTCAAAACGGTGGCACTCCTCATAGCAGCGGCTGTAGTTGTAGAACGGGATATGGGGGAACCTGTTGCGGGCAAGGTGAGTGCATTTCACTCAAGCATTTTATTTCTTTCTCTGTGAGACGAACGTGGCAGTTTTAATTGCGGGGGAAGAAAGTCAGATCATGAGAGTCGGAGATTAAGGCTTATCAAACTGAATCTACTTCCTTTAGAATATCTTAGAGAAATTTCAGATAAATTACTCTTTTTCAAATTTAGAAACAGCCTTTCATCCACTGGCATTAGAAAATTCCTGCGCACGAACACAATCAGGATTATTGCAGAAAGTCATATTTCATTCGGACTGCCGAGTTGTGGAACTCTTTACCATGCGAGTTCAAATTAGCCAACAATTATTCAACAATGTTTATAACTAGCCTTTTTCAATGTTATCTTTCAAAGCTTGAGACCTATAATCCTCCAATGTTGCAATTTGTAATGTTATGATCTTAGCGTGTCTTACCATGAGGTGCAATTAGGACGAAAGTTCCGTTCCTATCCCCTGCCTGTCTCTTGATTAGTTGTGAAATATCCAGGGGTAAATAAAAATAACCAGGGGGGATTTAGGAGTGGGCCAGGGGGCTCCGGTCCCCCCTCTTGTAAGGGAATTTTTTCCCTTTTCTAATATAAACGTGCGTTGGATGGTACTTCGAGCTTTGTTACTTCATATATTTTCAGATTACATGTTCAATATGGAATCCAGGCATTTGCTAAATTTAAAAGTCCAGAATGCACTAGATTGCATCTCAGAAAATTTCGACCTCAAAAATTTTCCAGGAGGAACACACGCCCGAAACTCTCAAGAAAAGTGCGCCGTTCCAAGTCCTGATGCGCGCTCCGTATATCTCTAGGCCCCCTCTATCACAAAATACTCCGTCTCCCCTGTTCAAAGGTTTTCTAATTTTATAATCTGAGCTTAGGGTGAGAGATTCGGTGTGAACAGATGACTTTCGCCAACCAACACTCTCTTTTTAACTCCTTCATTACATTTTCCTTTTTGTTAAAGAGATTGAAAAAGAACTTCTAAAAAGGAGAAGGTTAGCTATCTTCTAGTTTAATACTGAAGAATTACCTGTTTGGCATTTGAAGATCTTTGAATTAAACAACACGATAATAGTATATCAAAACGCGTAAAGTGAAGCATTGCATCAAAATGGTTAATATATGCAGGCGACGAATAGTTTTATGACTAATCAAACGCCTAAGGACGAGGGCCACTCCACCGACTGGGCCAATGAAGAAATTATTGGCCAGAAAAAACCACCTGGTTTCACGCAAGATTCGCGAGGCCTTAAACATTCTTACTCGGAGACTGGAAATGAAATGTGATCAGGGGCGACCAGCTTCCCTCAATTTATGGACCAATTTTGCAGCCTCTTAAAACGAGTCTGCGAATAACAGCAAAAGTCATCACTGATGAAGGGATCCGTTCGTGTTAAAGAATACTTCTTTGCAAAACACCTACTACTATTCTTTTGGAGTTTAACTACCTGCAAGAAAGCTCAGCCAGCCAATAGGCCCTTGCAACGTGCAGTCACGTGACATTCTCGGAAGGTAAAATCACGTGGAAATTAGTCAAAAGGTAAATTTTGAGGTGACAGATGCAAAAGACCAAGATTTTTATGGGTGTTTGAATGTCTAAACTATATTAATGGACTTCCGACTTTTTGAATCACCACAAACCGGCCCTCACTGAAAAGAGGTTTAAAAAAAACTACTTGACATAAGCACTGTTTACGTTACTAAATTAAGGGCTTGATTTTTTTCTGTCTTCATATAGTAAGCCGAAGTTTAACAAAACGAATAGTAACGCAGTGAAAAAATAACAATAATCAATTACTTCAAAAGCATAAGAAAAAGGTATGCAATCTTAGATTTATTGTGTATTAAATTCTTTAACCCGTATTTTAGCGTTCAATTTTGTTTGTTCGTTGTAGTATCGGGCTCTATCCTCTCAAAACCGGGAATTTCAAGACATGCAAAATCCATGATACAACCAAATCAAAAGCTTCAGAATTATTTGAGTATTTGGTAATATGATTGACACTTTCATCAAGCACTTGTCAGTCAATACGCAAAGTAGAATAAATTCTTCCATTTTGCATTAATAGTTCTCTATGATTGTAAATGAGAACCTCAGGAAAACTAGCAATATAAGGCAAAGTAGTCATTGCATGTAATCTATATGAAAATTAAATATGAAAAGAACTTTGATGATAATTTGCGTCCTGCTTTTGATGATGGAGGCAAATTCTTTTTGGGGAAGAAGAAGACGGCGACGGAGGGCCGCTCCCCCGCCCTGCAGCGCTGTTGACTGCCTCGTCAGTAGCTGGACAAGCTGGAGTTCCTGCTCGCATCAATGCGGTACTAGCGGTACACAGACACGAACGAGGCGGCAGACGCGGGCCGCTTCTTGTGGTGGAAGATGCCCTTATTCTCTGCGGCAAACGCGAGCTTGCAACCGAGATACCTGTCAAATTGGTGGCACTCCTCATAGGAGCGGCTGTAGCTGTAGACCGGGATATGGTGGAAAGTGCTGTGGCCAAGGTGAGTGCATGTCACTCCCACAAGTTTTTCTTTGTATGTCAACCTACTACATGTAAGAAGTGATTGCTCTTTTCAAATCAGCGGCTGTAGCTGGCAGAGTTCGAGCGTGCTGTGAGCATGGTGATAATTGTGCATATCACTTCCACATTTTTTTAGTGTTTCAGTCAATGGTAAAAGGAAAAAAGTAAGATGGTGGGAGTGAGATTAAATCTGTTCTGTGCGGACGAAGATTCCCGCCCAATTAACTTAAGCGTTTCTTAGTTCAAGTTTCTTTCAAATACATTTCTAAGGCGAATGATCATGATAAATTGCTTCAATAGCGTTTTTCAAACGCAAGCAAGCTTGCATAGGAAATAGAGTTAACTTGATAAAATCTTTGAGTACTGAAGTATGACAGAACGGTAAGCTATCGCAATGCTATGTAAACTGTAAGCACGAAAGAGTAGCTGTATGTATACCTCTTGGCTTCACCTTTGGTAGAACCGTGAATAAAGGTTATCTAGAATTTTGTTCTGTGACTGTTGCAACCCTTAAAAATGACCTTTTAGGTGCCTTATAAGATGTCATACTTTTTATCATCCAAAGTATCAATGATATTTTCCATGTTGATACTAAATCTCAGTTGATGTGGCCTCTAGGAAAATGTGGCTACAGGTTACATATCTAAGGTATTGTTTCAAATTATTACTTAAAATTAGAAGATGTACAATTTAAACTGACACGACGTCTCTTTAGCGCAGGCAATATTCTTTAGTCTCAGCTCTTGATGTGTGATTTTCATTTGAATTGTCTAACCTTTGGGAAAGAAATATCAATTCTGAAAAAATATTTTTAAGCGCTAATCAGTCTATTTTTGAAAACGGCTTGTTATAGGGAAAAAATCAGATAGAGGTGGAAAAATGTCATGAGGGAGGGAGGGGGGGACTGGATTCCGAAAGGGAAATATGTAAATGTCGAAGCAAACCGAAGTTCAATAACAAGGCAAAGGCCGAAGGTAAACTCTGGTAAACAGTCGTATTGAATCAGTTAATGATCGCTAACGGGTGCATTTAAAAAAAAAACACACACACAAAGGAAAAACTTGAGCCTTGTATCAGTAAAAAATGAAACGCGGCTATAAGTTGGATGCAAAATGTTAGTGAATAAACAGACCAGTAATCAACATACAAACTCACCAGAGCTTGAACTTGAAATCCATCGCTTTCTGTAGAATGAGAGCCCCTTGTGTTATGGACTGCAACTTCGTAAGAGAAGTACATTTGGCGTATGGTACGAGTGACAAATGTCTCTGGTACATAGATCCCTAGCTATAATCAAAAGCTAAAATTAAGCCCCACAGCAAGGGCACATTTGAGAGCCAATTCATTGCTTGTCTAGCTTCTGTCCCGCACGTACCCCTGGAAGTTTAGCCTGCGAAAACATCCTTTTTTCCTCGCTCTTCGTCGCTGGGTTAGACTACAAGTAGTCCCCCATTTCTCCTCCGGGATGGTCGAGCGAGCGAAACGCGAGCGCGTGTGAAAATCACCCCACGCGAGAAAAGGCGACACCGCGTCTCGTCTTTCTCGCGTGGGGTGATTTTCACGCGCGCTCGCGTTTCGCTCGCTCTACTATCCCTGAGGAAAAATGGGGGACTACTCGTAGTCTACCGCTGGGTACGTTTCGAGGAGAAACGGATGTTTTCGCAGGCTACTGGAGGTTGCCAAATGACTAGAAGGGGTCCATACTGTACAAAACGTGACAGATAATAATTAACTATTTTACGTCACGGTAGACTGGTTAGGAGTTTTAACAACAATATTTATGTGTTGTTTCTATGACCAGCTCGAGGCTTACGTACGTTGAAAACGTTAATTGTAACAAATTGTGACCCACAGTCAAGCACTCGGTTGTTAAAAGAGCTGTGATCATTCTGAACGAATCTGAAATGCTGTTCTCTCAAGACTATTTTGTAAGAGTAAGACCAGTCGATGCGATGTTGCAGGCCGCTAAGTGAGGACAGTGAGAGAAAAGCAGGGCGCGAGATAACGCGATTTATTTGGCCAAGCTGCAAGTTTAAGCTTAATCGTCATAGCGTCCTCCTTACACTTATATTCGAAGGACGATGTGGAAAATTATGTTCACGATTTTCTCACTGGTGGTCTTCTTGTGCGCCCAAAATGTTGATTCTTGGCGCCGAAGGAGACGCAGACGGGCTCCTCCTCCGTGCAGTGCTAGAGATTGTACAGTTAGTTCGTGGAGCACGTGGAGTTCCTGCAGTCACCAGTGCGGGACTAGTGGATCACAGAGAAGGACAAGAGCACAGACTTCCCCTGCGTCGTGTGGAGGAAGTTGTCCGTACACTTTCGATCAAACTCGTGCGTGCAACAGGGACAAATGTTAGAATGGGGGGACACCTCATAGCAGCGGTTGTTCTTGTCGGTCAGGTTACCAAAGAACCTGTTGCGAAGGAGGTAATAGCCTGTGTACAGACGTCCCCCTCCCTCGGAAAAAAATCGGGAGAAGAGACGTCTGTGAATCGCCGTCGTTAACAGTATTCCAGTGTACATTTGCATAAATTATTATTATTATTATTTTTCCTCTGACAATTGAAAAGGTGTTGACAGACCAACACGACTCTGGACCCTTTTAATGCACGTACGCAGTTATTCTCTCGGACGTTCTCAACCTTCATAGCTAAGCTAGTAAGCTATAACTAGAATATCTTGCTAAATGTCATTTATAACGAGTATCTTATGCTTTGGAAGATTCTAACACATTCTTCGGTCTTCTTTTAGCTCATAAAGTCGGTCTGTTTACTGTGCATCGATTTCCTGTGGTTTTTGGTTTGACAGAATTTTCATCTCGGAAGTACAGTTGACTACCGATAACTCGAACCCTCGCTAACTCGAACCTCGCGCTAACTCGAACCAAAATCGATTTTCCCTGGATTTCCGTCATACATTCACTGTAATTTTACCCTCGGTAACTCGTTTCCCCTCGGTTCATTTTCTATATAATTTTACCCTCGATAACTCGAACCATGTTTTGAGCCCTTAAAAAGTCGGGAAAAAAGCCGTCTACGGGCGTCCGAAACATTGAATTTTGGATTTCCTATTGACGAGTTGTAGGAGTATAGTTTACTAGTAGAGGCTGATGTTGATTGTCACAGGCTAACGTTAAGCAGCTTTTCTTCTCAAAACAGTAAAACGCATGCTCTATTTAGGCTATGTTTTGTTACGTTACCTTCTGATTTATAATCTAGAAGTATCTTTTAATTTTCACTTGACATTTCTACAATTAAATGTGATTAAAATATTCGCTTTGCAGTAAAAACTGTTTTTTACTTTAATCTCGGCTATTTTCTTCGAACTCGCGATAACTCGAACTCCAGATAACTCGAAGCTTTTTTCGATTTCTGCGATTTCCCTTGAAAGTTCGAGTTATCGGGAGTCGACTGTACTGTTTACATTTCCAGTCAGGCGTTTTATCCAGCAGTTGATCCATTCAATGATTTCGAGTAGGTTTCACTTAAAAATTCATTCACTTTTCTTCGGCAAGGAATTATAATAGAAATAGCTCTACTTTTGCCTTATTCTGCGAGTCATGACTGGCACATGTAGGCCGAATGAGCCATGTAGAGACGCCAGGGGCGTCTGCAACAGTCTAGCCGAACATTTTCACGCAATGTCCGTGCTAAAATCCAGATAAAAGATCTCTGATTATTAGCGTTGAATTCTGTACGTCCACTTTTATTTACAACAGACATCGACAGAGAACAGACACACCCGCAACCGGTGCAGCAAACATCGGTGGTTCGTTAAGGTGGCTGAACAAGTTTTGCGGGCTGTCAGCGGTAACTCGCCTGACGGCACATGTTTTAAATTAGACAAACAAACATGGCGGAGAAAAAAGCAATGGTACACAGAAGACGATTTCTCAAAATCTACTCATTAAAATTTTGTGATATTTGGCAGAACTTTTACTTTCATCGTATTTTAAATAATGAGAACTTTGAAATGGAAGTTGAACAGAGGAATTTTCTGGCACATTTAATAATTACAGTACAATTATACTTTTGATTACTTAAAAACCTGTTTGTTAAAATTTGGTGAAATAAGTTTCAAATGGTAGTGATTAATTATAGTAAGCTGTGTGCAAGTTTGTAGGAAAACCTAATGAGCGAATTTTATATGTAAACTGTGCGAAAAGTGAAATTTTAAGGTTGTATTCAATCAATCATGTCCCCATGGAAACTACGAAAACGTCAAACTTTACCTATCAATTAAAATCTTTCATCAGTATATTTTTCACTTGGCAGAATTCAGCTTGTGAGCTGCAACCTTTCTCTTGCCACGATTTGGCAAATGACATATACTCACAAACTGCCAAAACTGTGTTCAGTCACCTTAACTTGACATGGCTATTCCAGAGAGCCGAAATGCAAGTAAACAAATATAAATGTGGTAAACTGTCCACAAAGGCAGAGGTTTTCCCCGGGGAAGCTATTCTGAGATTCATTCATCAATCACAACACCAAAAAATTATTTGCGTCATGGCATTAACATTACAACCAATCAGAGGCTCTCTCCAACATTCCGGGGAAACGGGAACACGATTGACGACGGCGATTCACAGTCGTCTCTTCTCCCGATTTTTTCTGATAGAGGGGGCACGTCTGTACACAGGCTAAGGAGGTAAGAGGTAAAGTCGGTTGAAATTTTTTGGCAATTCCGGAGTACTGCACAAAAGTGCTCTTTCAAGATGGTCCTTTTAGATTTGTGATCACCGGTAAAAACTATGTTGGCATATAGTGTATTCGATTCCATTAAATTCCCTCCATTAAAACGCCCAACTGCACGTGACTGATGTCATGAACTGGTAGAGGGTAGATCAACGGTGAGGGCGGAGTCAGGGTTAAGGTTCAGAGGAATTTTCTAAATATTTTATCCAGCTTGAAGGAAAAAAGGGTAACCGAACTTCAAATGAATAGCTTCTGGAGGCAAAACCGGCCTACAAAGTGCAAAGAGCGTCTGAAGTTTTGCGTTAAGTGTAATTACACGCCTGACCAATTTTTTAGTTGATATGTTTTTCAGAATGAAAACTAATTGCTTAAGGTGCGATTGAGGTAAATAAAATAACTGGAGCAATTATAAACACGGCCAGTCATGTGAGTGATGCCCCTTGTACTTCCAGGTCTAACTTTCCACCTATGTACGGTAACTGTGAGTAATGCAAAGAAACGGGATTAATTCATATCATTGCACTTCAAAACTTGTTTTGTTTGTTTGTTTGTTTTGTGGCAGGTAAAACTGCATTTGACCAAAGATGAATCGGTGTTATCACACAGGCTTATTGCTGGTTCTAGTTTGAACCAAAGACCTTTAGCAGCTATTTAAGCCTACAGCAACAAAATTTAACGATGATGTACACTAGTATTTTGTTACATATCTCTTTCGTTCAGAATTCGCGTCACTTTCGCTATCAAGTTTCTCTAGCAATGAACATCAGTCATGCCGAGTCCAAGAGAAAATGGTGATAAGAACTCAAATGTTTTTTAATTTCGTTTACAGCCTTTACTTAACTTCCAAATTCATTTTAAGGTTGTTCACTTTCAACATTTCGTCGACAAACGTGAATATATAATTAATTTACTGCTTATACTCTGTTAACAGGTAGCCTTAAGGCTCCTGAAAAAGAATATAATGAAAAGAATATCCCGTGAAAGTACTGTAAGACCACTCGCGAGTGTTCCACAAATATTGAGAGAGCTATCAACCAGCTTCAACATTTAGTTCAAAACAAAGGAAATGTTGAGGCGATGTTGAGACAAAGTTTAAAACAAAACAAAGAAAGCACGATTTCAACTGACTCTATTCAATACCTTACAACCATTATGATAATGAAAGGGTTTATGCTTTTCACAAATTTCTCGATCATGTTGAGACCTTTTGACCAGGGTTTTAATAAGTACAATTTTGTCTGGTATTGAAGTTATTGCTCCGCGAATTGACATTATTCTTGTATGAAACTGTCCTACAACAACATAACATCAATCAAAACTCAACTTCCCTCTTCCCTCTCCCCCTCCCCCCGCGAGACTGCCCTTTTCTATGTAAACAAGAGCCATCCTCCCTAAAAATAGTACAATCTAGGCCCTCAAATGGCCAGCTCTCCCTTAGATTCGCGGATTATAACTTACCGAGTAAACTGGAAACTGATTTTGGAATGCAATCTCGGTATTCGTAATTTTAAGATAGAGTGAGCAGTTCTTACAAAGAACCTCATGGTTTAGTTACTTTTTCATTGTTCTTTAATTTTCAAAAAAACCTGAGCATTTTGGCACCCTTCTTTGGCCTTTTTAACAAGGTATGAGTCTATAGATTACCGTCGTTATCGGCTTTTACTATTTGGAGCAGGTTACATCTATCTGCTTGAGACTAGGAGATGACTCTGTTTACCTTGTGTCAGAGAAAACAGAGAAGTGGAAGCATCCGTAAAATGTTCAAGATAGGTAGCTTTTACCTAATGATAGGAAAATTACAATTCTAAAATCACGAAAAGAAAAGCTTTAGAGACTATATACCCTTTGATAACCAAGTCATAAGAATTCTATCCCCCGCCCCACTCTGTACAGTATATATGTTGCAATGCACAGAGTGAATCGTGTTAAATAGTGTTTTGTTCTTGCAGACGAGAATGAATGCCTGCAAAATCCCTGCCAGCACGACTGTACAAATACATTCGGAAGTTATACCTGCCAATGCCATTCATGCTATACCAAACTTGGAAGACTGTGTGAACTGAGACAATGCAAAATTAGTGGCTCATGTTACGCTTATGGAGCAGTCAACCCCAGCAATAAGTGTCAGGTGAGAAAAAAATATACAATAGAGAGTTTAAGAATTGACACGCACGAGTCCGGTAATTGCTCGTAGAACGACAAGTTTTTACTCAAATCACGTCGTTTGACCGAAATTGCACAATGCGTTCGGGGCTTTTCACATTGCATCAAGCTGCTACTTCATCCAGTATTTTTAAACGAATTCATATCTAGCATCCTATTTTTCATTTGGATTAACAATTCATTTATAACCTCAAAAGCACTACTAAGGACAAGGTCCTGTACTCTTCAACAACTAAGAAGGTCGAATCCAATACACAATTTTAATATCTGCTCCATCATGTATACCGATTTCACCTCAGCAGTATAAAAAAAAAATGTACGTACAGGTTGATGATGAGGGCTTCAAGCGTCAACATGCACTAGATAACATAGCAAAACCCAAAGCCAAACATTGCGATAAAAAGCTGATTTTTTTCTCGCACACGCCATTTTAAGATATGCCACACTGATTGTGATGGATGTACCATCCAAACAATTTGTCCGCTAAATTTAAAATGTTGTAAAGTTGGTGAGGGAAACTATCTAAGTATATTGTTGCGGTAGTCTAAACCTTTTGGTTCAAAAAAGGCTAATTAATAAATTTGCTTCTGACAGGACTGTAACAGTGCCAACAAGATGGCCTGGACAAACAATGACGCATTACCTTGTAGTGACGGTGTGGCATGCACTAGGAACGACCGTTGTTCAGGTGGTGTTTGCTCTGGAACACCATTCACTTGCCTTTCGTGCGAAGAGTGCTACAATGATGCGTGTAGCGTTAAGCCCGGTTACTGTGTTATTCAGGATGGTGGAGTTAAGAAGTGTTTTGCCCAAGGCACCTTACGTCCAGGATCTCAGTGCCAGGTACAAAGCCGTAAATATTTGTTTACTGGGCTGCCTGTGGCACAGTCCAAATATAAAATTAGCTTTTTCCGCCGAAAAAAAGGCAAAATGGCGGATGGACCACCTAAAAGGCATAGCATGTCCTACCCCCTCTAACAGGGCCTCTTATTTGACTTTTCTCTGGAGATAATGGGTCATTTCAAGAGGGAAAATTGCAGAAAAAAGTATTTGCGAGACACCCTAGAGATTTTTTTGGATTTTGATTTTTGTCCCCCTTTCGATCAACCCAGTCACTTTAACTCTGCAGAACCCCCTCCACCTTAGTATATCTAACTTGATCCACAAATGCACCTCTATATCTCTATCTTTATTTCTCGGGATAGGAGTAACTAGGACTAGCTATACAGTCAGTTAGAGTAGAAAGTATTATACCACTACAGCCCAATAAGTGTCTTGTTTTGAAAAAAAAAAAGTTTATCCAATGTTTATCCCGTTCTTTGATTTGCCACTCAAACTCGAGAGGGTACCCGCTTTTGATAACGTGAACGGCACAACACTCATTAAAATAGATTTAGTTTAAAAGACAGTTGGTGCCAAAATGTTTTACAACATTAAAATGCCGCAACTGAAGAATCTCTGATTTGCGATCTTAAAAGAGCAGATCACGGAATCTTCAGTAAGACAGCCAAACAAGGACTTTAGGACAACGACTAAGGGCGAAGTGTTGTCTAAGGTTGGAATGGATCGCTATCACGCCGAGTGGCCCAGCTATTCGAGCACAGTGCCTTGCTCTTACGCTTCTCCGTTTATTAGTCTTATATGTTTATTTCATGGATAAACCTGGATAACAGGTGGTCACTTAGGTACGTAGGCTTTCAAAATTTTCATTTCTTATGGCAACCGATTCATCAATGACTTGTCTATGTCGTTAAAGTCGTCGCTTTTTCTGGTAATTTAAGAAGCGTTTTCTAATTAAACTGTCTCTGTTAGTCTCCCGCACTAATTTACCTTACAGTTTTCTGGCTTCTTAAATTAACATGTTCTCTTCCAGGAATGTGACAGCAACAACAAATATAATTGGACCAACAATAACAATCTTCAATGTAGTGACAACAACTTAAAGACCAAAGATGACCGATGTATCAGAGGCGCGTGCCTAGGCACCCCGTACAACTGCCTTCCGTGCGAGACACATGACGGACGCGGCTGTCCAATCAACCCAGGACACTGCATTATACAAAATGGCAACCAGAGGATTTGCTACGCTAAGAATCATTACAAACCAGGAAACCCTTGTCAGGTAGAAAGATAGCGCTTTCGCACTGTACTTGGTATCCTATTGTATTTTAATCTGTGATAAGGTAAATACTGTGAAAGGGATTCAATGAAGCCCTCTGAGGTAAGAATGGGTTTATAACAGATGAATTCTGTAAAAAAATGCCAGCAACAACAAATGAAAACACATGATACACCAATTCATCCTGAGGCGGGCTGCCTGGTCTCAAACCTGATAAGTATGTTAAACTCGCAAGAATAGTGCAGGGGAAAAGAAAAACAGTGTGGTTGATGAAATGGCAACGAAACTGAAAAGTGATTCTTTTTTCTTTTGGTCCTGAGAAAGTTGAGCGTTTCTGTTCCCTTTGTGTTGCAAAAGATGTATGCAAGCGCCAGTACTTTACTTGGCGATAAATACCCAGTACAAGGAATATGCTTTAAAAACCGGTGATTCAGAAACACACCCGCAATGGCAGACGCCATTCTCCCAACACTTGTCATCGCGCTAACGTCATTTACTTTGGGAACAAACACCACAAATATTTACTAACTACAAGTCTGATAACTTTTTGGTTTCCATCTAATTTTAAGTGGTGTAATCCAAGCAGCAGCACGAGCACCTGGACAAATCGCGAAGGCGTGGCATGTGATGATGGTGACAAGTGCACACGTGGTGACACATGTCGCAGTGGCCAGTGCAGTGCCACACCATTCACATGTAATTGGGTGTGCCAGTACTGTAATGGCTATAACTGCAGTCTGAAAACAGGATTCGGATTGGTAAACAACACGTGTATGTGCAAGATAGCAGGTGTGTAAATGAATTTATAAAGCAAACTCTTACCATCCACGCATTTTCTTGGGGCACTCGGACGATATTGCGAGGGTCCTGGACTTAATCTAAAGATGATTTTCTAAATGAGCGCTTGCTCGCAGGTTACCTTGCAGCATGATTTCTAAGAGATAAATCAGCTAGTAACCGCAAGGACAAAAACAGGATGGCTCATAGACAGAATTAGAGTTAACGTATCTTGTGCACTAAAGAAAATTTCTTATGGAAGCCCGAGAAAATGAATGTCAAATTTCACAAAATGGCATCTTACACATGAAATTTTCAGAATTTTACCTGTGTTTTCACAATTCCTGTGAAATTTGACATTCATTTTCTCTGACTTCCGTGAGAAATTTTCTTTGGTGTTATTACAGATGACTAATTACATCTTTAGCCCTTGAAAAATCTAAAAAAGAATGCAATATTCTGTACATTATTCTGGTACAAGATTTTTGTCCACTGAAAATCAAAATTACTCAATTTCCAGCTGGTAGATTCCGTCTTAACTTGCTGAAAACACAAAAAAGGTGGGAATGGGTTTCCGTTCCTGTATTGATTTTGGGTATACTTTTACTTTCTTTGAAGTCTGAGATTTAACCTCCGACAATAAGATTTACAACGTAGGCGCTACATGATTACCAAATACAACACACTCTTTTCTTCATACCCGGTAGGTCAAGACTATGGACACCAGACCATAAATCCATCAAACCAGTGTCAGTGGTGTGACCTGTACGACCCAACAGCTCGTGCTAACAGTGTCTGGTCAAACCGCCCTGAAGTAACTTGTGATGATCAAGATGCATGCACCAAGCAGGACACTTGTAATGCCGGCAGGTGCTGTTAAAAGTCTTTTTACTAAAAACATTACAAGGGAAATTGCTCTAATTAAAGGTCGATTTGTATGGTGGAAAAATCATTGGTCGGAAACCGTAAACTGGAGACTCTAGAAAAAGGCTTAAAATCTTCACTAGAGAACTAATTCTCCAATGTAATCAGAAAGATGAGAACAAAAATACTTGAATACCGTACTCTCTTACCTTTCTCCATACGGTTAAACCAGTAACCTCCAACGTCACCTCTTGGCAGACCCAATAGATGCCGACTCTGAATATTTGGAAGGTTTCCTATTAAGGGAATTTGGCCGTTAGCAGATCTTAAAACTGATATACAAAACTATAAACGATATATTTTACTGAAAACATGGAACAAGCTCTTTTTATATCAGGACCATTTCCTACCTAGGCATATCCTGTTATGTTACTAATGCAAACTGTTTTTTCCTTCCATTTCCTTTAAATTTTATTTTGAACAAATATATATGGACTGTTCTATCCTCTTTTAACTCTGAACAGTGGCGGATCCAGGGAAGGGGCCCGGGGAGCGCCCCCCCCGCCTATTTTTGGACCAAACTGAGGCCCGAAGGCCCGAAACAAGTTTTTTTGAGGCCGCTTCCCCTTATCTGAAGGTCTGATCCGCCACTGCTGAAGCATCTGCATTGTATGTGAGCTAGTTAGATTCCAGGCTTTCTAACATATAAAATAAACAGCAAGACAAGAAAAGAATTCTTTAGGAGGTTAAACTACAATCGCAGCAAACGTTCACCCTATATTCACCGGGTTACATCCGGGGCACAGGAATGGATGGGGAATTGGGAGGGCCTGATATGCCCACCCGGGACATGAAACCGTGGATACGGATATGAAATCGTATTCAGCGTGAATAGCAGGATTGATTGGAATGGAAGTTACCTTGGAACCGCCTTTTCGGACTTAAATTATTTTAAACATTGGACAAAATTTTCGTTAAGTAATGTTGCCTGAGCAGCTGTTTCACTAACTCCGTGAAAGAATGGTCACGGCAAGGCGAGTGCGTCCTTCCAACCGATCCTGTGAAGTAAGATTTAACGAATTGTGGCATTTTCATCAGGTGTGTAGGCCAACCATACTCTTGTCAGTCAACTTACCCGTCTTCAAGTTGTATCAAGACTTCCCATTGTGTTGGTGATGGAACGTGCAGACCCATTATGAGAGCAACAGGGACCATTTGCCGACCTCCTGTCGACGTCTGTGACCAGCCCGAAAGGTAATGACCTATGAGGAGGACGTCTCTGTAGTAAACAAACATATCCTTGTTTGTGTGCGAAATGTTCATGTGCTCTGGATCATTGCACCCTTTTTCTCAAATGGACAGTAAAAAGTCAATTATATTTGAAACCATTTGGAAAAAATTCTTCTTACATGTCAAGTGAATGGTAACGATTCAGTGTTAACAGTCCGGTTACCTTTGGATTGGTATCCATAAACTCTGAAACGGTTGCTCTTTTTTTGTTGTTTGGGGGAGGGGGGACAATCACGTTTACGATATAAGATGCTACTCCCTCACATTATAGTACGATCATCATTTTCCATAAGCTCTTCGAAATTTCTGATCAACTTTTTCTTCCCTTAAGAAGGGATCGGGAAAAAAAAGGGGTGGTTTGATATGGAAGACGCTAGCAACACAGTCCCCATTTATTATGTAGGTGTGATGGTAACCTTGGGACATGTCCCGCTGCAGTGCAAGACAGCATTAACATGACAACTGGCACAGCCCAATTCATGGATAGCACATTTCAGTCAGTTGTTAGCTATCAGTACCTCACTGACAAACTCTACCTTCGTGTCTCCGGCTTTTCTGTCTCCTGTGGCCATTTGATGTTCAGATGGTTTTTGCTATCTTCATCTTCCGCCTGCAACACTGCATCACCATTGAACGGGACATTTCCTAACAGTAACTCGCAGCAAACTATTACAGGTAGGTAGATGTAATGTTTCTAAAATAAAACACTGCTCAGTTATAAATACACCAGTTCCAACCATTTAATGCTCGTAGTTAAATCAGTTAAATGCAACGCAGTTACATCAGAAGATGTCTTAAAGATTATAGACCGGACTCTCCTTTTAGTATAAAAAAATTTGAAAAATACTGTGCAACGCAAAACTTCGATGATTTTTCCAAGGTTTACCAAAATTTGTACGAAAAGTGGTTTTTCCGTGCCCTTTCATGCTTATTTTGATAAACTTTGTGAATATCGCTACCCTTTTAGGCTGACTTCCTTCTTATGTTTTGTTTGTAAACTGTATTTGGAGGTCACCCCTTCGCGATTGATACACGACTTGCAGGGGCTTTCGCAGGCTTTTAACAAAGAGGAAAGGAGGCTAGAAGTCGTCTGAAATTAGTCACTCAGGAAAGCGTAATTTAAAAGGCGTGCCTATGTCACCTGTACATTTGACAAAATTTACTGACTTTCCTAGAATTGTCATCTCTCAGTCATCTAACATTAAACTCATCTAGAAGCAGGGACCGGACGTTTTTTCATAGTTAACGTGCATAGGAGCACGAGAACACTTCTGCACACTAACATAGTAGCCCGTAAGTCGTAATATAAGGAGCAGAGGGAGGGGGCTCCGGAACCCTCAAAGTACCAAGGGTACGTTCCCTGACTTGCACAGAACCCAAAAGTCTTCCAAAGCATGTCTGCTCATGAATTTGTAAGACTGGTCAGAGGTCCATTTGCAACTTCTCGCTTCGGAAAAGGAAGGAAGTTGAAAATTTGACTTTTTAAGCAAATGTCTGGTTACTGTTGATCCAGCTTTTTCTATGACCGTGGAGAAACATTGTTTGAACGTGAGACTCTTCTGAAGTTTTCGGTACCCTTAAGTTGAATGAATCCAGGCCACAGTTGTTCAAAAGGTAGATAACGCTATCCACCGGATAAGTACTATCCACTGGATCGCACAATTGGTTTCCCTAACACTTATCCGTTGGATACCGCTATCCAACTTTTGAACAACTGGGACCAGAACTCATTCGTTTGCTCATATCTTGTTTTCGCGTGTTCATAGCTTATCACATGCATGAAACTTTTACAGGACCTATTCTCCAGGATAACAACAGTTATAAAGTTTCCATACAAGCCTCGGATATAAGAAACAACGTACCTCAGCTTGTTTGTAGTGGTGTGATCGTCATTGATACATCGAAGCCACAAGGTGGTTGGATTCGCGATGGGTCTGGAGCTGACCTTAGTTACCAAGACGGAAAATTATTGCAAGTAAACTGGGGCGGAGTACAAACAAGACACGGTGTAAGAAAGTACGACTGGAAAGTTCTCATAACCCCCATTAACACAAATCAGACCACCGAGCTTATGCCATTTACGACTGTTTATCAGAACACTAGCGCACAAAAATCTTTTAACAGCATCACAGACGGCTCAAAAGTGAAATTCGTTGTTCGAGCTTACACAAAAGCGGGACTATTTTCAGACCTTACAAGTGACGGGGTTGTCATCGACACGTCACCACCTATTGCAGGAAAGGTCTATGATGGTAGTCAGGTCGGCTTTGATTTGAAATTCGCTAAATGGGCAAAAACGTTCAGCGCAAACTGGAACATCTTTACTGATTCTCATTCTCCCATTTCACGATACACTTGGGCGGTAGAGCGGGTAGGCACCGGATTAATCACCTCATTTAAGGACACAGACCTTAACAGCATTAGTACAGCAACTAACCTTAATTTAGTTTCTGGTGAGAGCTACTGCGCAGTTGTCACAGGTTATAACGAGGCTGGTCTTTCCACCACGGTCAAATCAGACTGTGTGTTGATAGACCACGATGTACCGCTCGCTGGTACTGTAAATGATGGACTCTTTCATGATGTAGACTACCAATCAGAAGATACCATGGTGGCAGCTAATTGGAATGGTTTCAGTGATGGAAGTAAAGGGAGCGGAATTGTGGAGTACAGATACAAAGTCACAGAAGACAGTGGAGGTATAATTGTTCCCTGGACATCTGCTGGCAATGCCACTAACATAACGCTTAACGGGTTGGTTCTTAAGAATAACACTAAATACTTCGTTACCGTTAAAGTAGTCGATGCAGTGGGACTTAGCACTGACATTACTACGGATGGTGTTACTGTAGACACAACACATCCTGTGTTCACAGGAAAAGTGGTCGTTACAGGGGTAAATGACGTTAAAAATGGAACATCGTGTGTTTACATTTCAAGTATATCATCAGTAAAAGTACAGTGGATTGGTTTCTCAGACGCACACAGCGGACTTCAGCGATATGAATGGGCAATCATCCCCGCCGACAAGTCACTGTCAAACTCTGACTTGACAGAAGTTTCTGGGTCCAATCTGCCTACATCTGCAACATTTCACAACCTAGCACTTATTCAAGGAAAAGAATATTATGTCATTATAAGAGCTTACAATAGAGCTAAGTTATATAAAGACGCGTATTCAGTCCTTGTGATACCTGACTCCAGCCCTCCATCCCCTGGAGAAGTGTTCGACGGAGCAACATACGAAGTGGATATCGACTATCAGGCTGAGATTCATCGTGTTTATGGGTCTTGGGACGATTTCCCCGAGCCTCATACTGCGGTCAAGCAGTACCACTATGCGGTGGGAAGCTGTATCACTGGAAACTACCACGTGACAGAAAATGCATTCGTCAAGCTAGATCCTCCAACGGCCACTTCTTTTGTGCTATCGAACGTCACACTTGTTAATGGTCAGCGATACTGCGTGAAAATCAAAGCTGAAAACAAAGCTGGTTTGTTTAGTAACGAGGTATCCTCGGATGGCTTTGTCGCCGATGTGACACCACCGGATACGCGAAACGCCCAGGTGCGAGACGGAATGACAGGTTCGGACATCGACTTTCAAGACAACACCACAGCATTATCAGCACAGTGGGACGGTTTTGCGGACCGCGAATCTGGAATTCATTATTACGAATACGGAATAGGCAAAAGTCGTGGCAAAAATGCCGATGTTTTTTCTTTCAAAAATATAGGCCTTAACACTTCAGCTACTGCGGGTGGCCTATCATTAAGTGACGATGTCTATTACTTCATCGTCTGTGCCGTAAACAAGGCCGGGCTGCGCCAGTGCCTCAGCTCAGATGGCGTTCTCATAGATTTCAGCCCTCCGAGCCTTGGGGTGGTGAACGACGGGATTATTGAACCCGATCTCAAATACCAGTCTTCTTTGTCAAGTATGGCTGCTAACTGGGAAGGAATCTGGGACTTGGAAAGTGGAATCGAAAAATTTGAGTGGAGCATTGGAACCAGTACAAATGACAGGACCAGTGTTCAAGGCTACACTGATGCTGGACTCTCAACCCATGTTAGAAGTAAAGCTGTTCTTAATCTATCAAGTGGAACAAAATATTACGTTCATCTTAAAGTCACAAATCAGGCAGGAGCTGTTAGAGAACTTGTTTCAGATGGCGTAACAGCAGATGGGACACCTCCGAAGCCAAGCGTAATCTACCCAGGTTTTGGGCCGCAAGGCGAATGGATATACAGCGACAAAGAAAGTTCCTTCTACTCTGCTTCAGCATCAAGCATTGCAGCTTACTGGACCCGATTCGCCGAACCTGAAAGTGAGGTATGGTACTACAAGTGGGCAATAGGTACAAGCAAATGTGGCACTCAAGTGCAGCCACTTGTTAACATTGGCCGGTTAAACTACGCCAATACGACAACGACTGATCTGGTCTTTAGATCCGGTATTAAATATTACGTTACCGTAACATCAAGAAATCGAGCTGGTCTTGTGTCACAGTCATGCTCAGATGCCCTGATCTTTGACAGCACTCCACCTCGTGCGGGAAAAGTTTACGTTGGACAGTCTTCAAACAGCCACAGAAGGAACACCTTCCATGTCGGGAAGGGTATTACTATTTCATGGAAAGAATTTAGAGACCGTGAAAGTGGCATAAGCAAATGTAATACCTCTGTAGAGAATCAAGTGGGTGACGTTCTGTTCGTCCACAGTAGCAATGAAACTTTAGGCAATATCTCTCTTCCTCGCCATGTCCACCTTTTTCATGGCGAAAGCTACAGTGCAACTGTTGAATGTACAAACGACGCAGGCCTTTCTTCCTGTTCATCTACCACTTTCGTAATCGACGACACACCTCCCATTCAGAACGGCCCCATTGTAGCCGGTGTTTCACGTGATCAACATTATCAATATCAGTCGGACAAAACCTCTGTAACAGCCACTTGGCCTCCATTTACAGACCCAGAAAGTGATATCAGAAATTATCAATTCGCCATGGGAACTCGACCAAGCCTAGACGATATTATTAGCTTTGAAGACGTTCATCTCGCAACTCGAGTAAACAAAAATGACCTAAGTCTTCTTCAGGGAGCTGTCTATTACATAACAGTGATAGCAACGAACTTTGCAGGTTCAAGTACAAATGTATCATCGCTTGGACTGAGGATAGACACTACACCTCCCTTGGGTGTCAATGGCTGCGTCCATGATGGACCAAGTGGTGACGATATAGACTTTTTTTCTCCTAATATGGACCTTGCAGCGCACTGGGAGGAGATTAATGATGCTGAAAGTAGTATCGTAGAAAGCAAGTACTGTATTGGAACAAAGCCTCGCGGTTGCCAGATTCAAACAACCAGAAGTGTTCAAGGAAATAAATCGTTCATCTGCCCGACATGCAAAGCGAATCCAGGAGAACGAGTTTTTGTTACAGTAACAGCCACAAATGGAGCGGGCCTGTCAGTGACTCGCAGCTCCAATGGAATGGTATTAGATGTTACTGCTCCTCGTATGGGCTCCGTTATTGACGGAAGTCATGTAACAGGTGTTGACTACAATGTCGTTCTTGAAGAGTGGAATGTCTCCATGTCTTGGTTTGGTGTGGAGGATCATGAAAGTGGTGTAAAATTGTGCTTATGGCGAGTACAGGACGCAGATGGTTACACAGTGCTTGAAAGTGAGATAAGAAATAATACAGTCTACGGACAAAAGAAAGTCTTTACTCGCCCTCACACATACCTTGAACTAAACTTTTTACAAAATGTCACTTACTATAATGTACTAACTTGTTGGAGCAAAGCAAGACTGCACAGCACAGCTCGTTCAAATGGGTTTCGGGTGCAATCTGTCTGGCCTGTTCCGGCTTCCGTTAGAAATGGCAAAAAACAAGGTGTTAATCTTGTCTATACAACGAGCACTAGAATTATTGGCGCCAACTGGGATCCTTTTACAAGCGACATGACGGACCCAGTTGTTGACTATGAGTGGGCCGTTGGCACGGCTGTCGGTAAAAACGATATCCTACGTTTTACTAGTGTAGGCCTCAAGACGAGCATTGAAAGAGACTTGGCACCCAACGCACCAGGAGTTGACGTTTTGGTTGCTGGTCAGAAGCATTACATCACTATAAAAGCTACGTCTGCTGCCGGCTTGTCAAGTATGGCGAGTTCAAGTGGGTTTATTGTAGATCCGAGCCCTCCAGTGAAGGCAGAGGTAATCACTAGTCACGTGGTGACTGACCAAAAACAGCGCATTGTCGAAATTCATGTTTCTTGGGATGGCACGCAGGACTACGAAAGTGGCATTGAAAGCAGTGATTACTGCCTAGGGACCACGCCTCGTACATGTGTGGACGGTGCTACAAGAGTAGGACCGTCCACAACCGGGACCATTGGCCCGTTCAAGCCTGAACTTCAAGCAGGTTATTACGTCACTGTAATTGTTGCAAACAGAGCTGGCCTTACATCTGTCATGTTTTCCAAGAAGCTAATCTTTGACTCAACGCCTCCAACCCAAGGTACCGTACTTGACGGACTGGGCCAAGACACTGATTTCACGGATTCCATGGATTCTCTTTCGGTTCAGTGGGAAGGCTTTGAAGACGAGGAGACTGGCATTGCTAGCTGTTCGTGGTCACTAATAGAACAATCTGCTTCTGACAATAGTTCTACATTTGGAAATGACACTGTCGTGTTAACAGAGTCTGTGCCGAGCAGAGGCAATCTCACTCGAGTAAATCTCAATCTTGTCCCAGGCGCCCGCTATGTTAGCAAGATAACTTGCTCGAATGGTGATGGTTTCAACTCCACGTCCTTCTCTGATGGGATCGTTGTTGACGTCACGGCAGCTAGTCCTGGTCTAGTACACGATGGATCGTCCCTTAAAATTGATATGCAGTATCAATCCTCATCATCAGAGGTAGAGGCAATATGGGAACCGTTCAAGGATCAAGAAAGTGGTGTAGTGAAATATCGCTGGAGCGTAGGCACTTCACCAGACAGAACTGACGTGCTAAATTTCACAGACGTTGATATTAAAACCTTTGCCAAAACATCAAACCTTACTCTCACTCACAGTCAGCGATATTACGTGACTGTTGAAGCTACAAATGGTGCTGGAATAACTTCACATGGATGGTCTGATGGCTTTCTCGTGGACATTTCTCCCCCTCTTTTAACAGAGGTAGGCGCTAGCAACTCTTCAGAACCAATCAGAACTAATCGTAAAACGTAAATCTCAACTCCACTTTAATTAAAAGCAGTTTCATCAAAGAAACAAACATTATCTTGAAGTGGCAGATTTATTACAACAGCGCATAAGCGAAACAGTTTTCACATTAGAGGAACTGTTTACACGTTTTTTAGACCAAGAAGTGTTCAGAGTTTTTTTTTTTTTGCATTTCTCCTCAAAAATGGCTCGAATTTCTGGGGTGACTATTAGATTTTTGGCCATGATGAATGTAGAGCTACTCTGTAGAAAAGCCATTATTAATTATAAAAGTAACAATGATAATAATCATCATAGCTATAACAAAATTCTCAAATCTGAATGGCTATCAACTGCCCTAATTTCAGCCTTAATAGGACAATTTGATAGGACAGTACGCGTCATGCCCAAGTAATTGGACAGTACGCGGTAATGGGTAACATTACTTCGTGTCCTCTAATTCGGTCTGTAATCATACTCGTGATTAAACAAATCGGACTCCCGCTACATGGTCGTCCGATTTTGTTCATCAGTCGTATGATTACAGACCGAATTAAACTCCACTCAGTCCTGTTACCATTATTACTACTACTACTACTATTACTACTACTACTACTACTACTACTACTACTACTACTACTACTACTACTACTACTACTACTACTACTAATATTAGTAGTAGTAGTAGTAGTAGTAGTAGTAGTAGTAGTAGTAGTAGTAGTAGTAGTAGTAGTAGTAGTAGAGAACAGTTTCTCGCTTTAAAATCGTATTCAACAAAAAAGTCGCAGAGAAATCCTTTAAGAGGTTGCATCTACCCCCTCGTTATTCTGAGAGGTCAGAGAAGTTTTCTTTTTCTTATTTTCAGCTTTCAAGTAGCTCAAATGTATGGCTTGGCCCCAAAGACAGCCTTAGCGTCTCTTGGAAATCAAGCGATCCCGAGAGTGACGTCATAAAAACTGAATTCTGCGTGGGATCGATTTCCATTGGTTGCCAGATTAAATCTATGACTGAGCTACCACCAAACGCCACCAATGTATCTTGCGATGACTGTCAGTTAACCCACCTTGGATCATACTACGTTACAATCCGAGTGACCAACGAGGCCGGTTTGTTTACCGTAGCAACAACGAATGAAATAAAAGTGGACTTAACATCACCAGTGGTCGGTGACATAGTTCATGTGACGGATGTCACGCCGTGCTTGAACAACTGCACCTTAATTGCAAACATTTCGTCATTCCTCGACAATGAAAGTGGTATCAAGTTGTGCCGTTATGCGATACGAAACAGCAGTCACCTTTTGGGAGACTTTGTGAACAACGGATTGGACAAAACTTTGAGAGCGGCAGGTCTGCAGTTACAGACTGGTGAAAGGTACTACTTTGTTGTTAGGTGCGAAAATACCGTTGGACTTGTCACGGAAAAAACGTCTATTGTGCCAGTGCTTGTTGACAACACACCTCCAAAGAAGGTAAATTGAATTTATTTAGAGAACTCATGGTCTTAACGCTTTTGCTGTTGTTTGATGTGCTACTTATCCTAAGCGCTCCTGCTTTGATGAACCTTATTCCGTCACCGGTAGGTGTTTAACTCGTATCACAACAACAAACTTTAAAAAGTTTGAAAGATGTTCATAGGCAAGTAACGCATTCGCAAAACAAAAGATTCATTCCCTGTTTAACCTACCCAAGCAACAAATGTAGCCTTTAGCCTTTCCTGAAAAATTGTGTTCCATCACCCGTGTTCTATAACGAGAACAAGTCGACACCTCTATGAAGCATGATGCTTATAATTAGAGTATGTGGATATAGCCGGAGATATAGCCTTAAAAGGCAAATGAATGGCCGCTTGCAAACAACTTTGTTCCCAGGGTCCTCTCCTAACCGTCTCTGCAGAGACTGGTAGGAGAGGAACCTAGGAAAGAGGTTGGCTTGTAAACAGTTGCGCCATCAAAAGTGTTACTGGTTGAGGCTTTTCACAATGAAGGGCTTCCACTTTCGGTCTCGGTGAAAGAAGAACCATCACCTGCAAGCATGCGTATGCTGACATCTGAATATCAACTTCTTTGTTTTTAGGGTGCAGTGATAGTGAGCGCAGACCGCACGCATGACGTGTTTGGCATTCACTCAAGCTGCCACTTATTTAACAGGACACTGCGGGCTCACTGGTTTGGTTTCAATGACGACGAATCAGGCATCAGCGGCTTTCGCGTAGCAGTGGGAAAGAAACCCAATACAGTGGACGTTTTGCCGTTTCATGACGTTGGCATGACAACAAATATCACCCTACCCTTAAATAATACCAATGGGCTGTTTGATGGGGACATCGTGTATGTAACAGTAGAGTCAAGCAATCAAGCTGGTCTAACAACTTACAGCAGTTCTCCCCCTACAAGGCTGATTTCAGCAGACAGCGATGCTTACACATCTGAAGGAGACTTTTACTGCTATAATGTTTAATAACTGACTCCATTGTTATGAATATAATGAATTACCAAGCTACAAAAATAGAGCTATTGTAGGCCTAGTCTCCTGCTGCATGTGGGTAATTATGCACACGCGAAGATTAGTTACGTTTAACTTAAGAACGCAATGTAGCTAGGCCGGTCTTAAGGACATAACCTAGAAGGAGTCAGAAGGGACAAATGGAGAGCATGCAGTGCGCATTATTTGTTTATTTATTTAATTGACGTGTACATTTAGTTCGTTGATTGACGTCTTTATTTTACTTCGCGTTATTTTCCTCACTTATATGTGTTGTCCGTGACTGTGCTCACATGGTGGGTGGCTCCTCCTAAAATGTTCTGCAATTGGTATACGATTTAATAGAGCCGAAACCAATTGTGGAATTGCACTGATTTTAGGCATCCTACTGATGAACAGTTGCGACACGTAGATATATATTTTTTAGCAACTACTATAATTTGCAGTCTGTCCACTTTGAATACGTAAATATTTTTTTTTTTAGGAAAATCTACAAACATTGCAAAGATTCAGAAAAACGTCACTTTTACTTGTCACAGTTTAGCACCTTTTTTCCTAAGACCTCTTGAGGTCAGCAGATGTTAGCTTGGAGCATGAACAAATAACATGTAATAAAACAACAGAAATAAATGAATGAATAAGTAATAAGCAAACAAACAAATTCAAGAATACAAGCTTTCTGGAAGTCGTCAAGAAATCCCTCTAAAGATGATGTAAAATTTTGTGGCGGGTAAATTGTTTGCTGTTGTTTGTGGTCCTTTCATAGACTGAAATTTTTTTTACGAACTTGATGAGGAAGTCGTATACTTTCGATGTTTTCTCTCCTGAACTTGGGTTTATTGAAGGTTTTTTTTTTAATTTCGATGGAAATCCAATTGCATTTTTCCATGAGTTTCTCGCACACTAATTCATACTAAGGAGTCAGTTTCAAGAATGAAAACTGGCCCTAATCTTATCTCAACTCATAACCATCATGAAGGCCAGTTATGTAAAATCTTCTTTTTACATCTGACATACCCGGCTCATTCTTAATAAACTAGCCTCCCACGCTGGCGTAGTTTAGGGGAGTTTGGCGTATTCCCTCCCTTAACTGGAGAATTTAGAGTCCCGAGTATAAAAAATTATTTGGATTAGTAGTATTTGGATTATAATTTTGAAAGTGGGTTCCCTTAGAGTTTTTCATGATCTACCTTAACCCCAAAAGGACCAAAAAAAAAAGAAAGAGGAGGACAAGGCCTCTTACCGAGTTAGCGTTACCAGTACTACTTCACTAACAGAGAACATACGAATAGACAGGAATCAACCGGTCCGATTTATAAAGGGACGTATTTCCAAACACTAACTGAATTATTTATTGCAACTTATTTTTTTGTTTCGGTTAAAAATGAGTACGTGGAAAAGAATATTCAGGTATAACCTATGCCCGTTCTGAAAGACGATCTTGTGGTTGAAAAGAAGTATGGGGAAAAGAATAATCAAGTAACTTGTACCTACTCTGAAAGGCTACGTGCTGAAAGGACAACCCCGTCTGGGAAAAAAAATGCCAAACCAAGAACGACATAGGAGACTTTTTCTAAAAATTATGTTTAGAAAAAGAAAACGTAAAACAACAGCAATTGCATACGCCCAAAACACAAACAAACAGTACCGAACAAGTTATAATATAGTGCTTCAACATTTTGCTTTTATTTAAACGGCATCAGTATTAGTTAGCACATCTCCGGGTAACTCCACTAATCTGTTAAAGAATTTCACACATATATCTCAAAACAAACAGTACCGAACAAGTTATAATATAGTGCTTCAACATTTTGCTTTTATTTAAACGGCATCAGTATTAGTTAGCACATCTCCGGGTAACTCCACTAATCTGTTAAAGAATTTCACACATATATCTCTTACACGCGTCGATACCGTCTCAGGAATTAAATACGAGTTTATCTCTGAAAGGCCACTAACCAAATTCTAACTAAATTATTTCTTGAATATCCTTGTGGTTGAAATCTACAGTATGTGGAAAAGAATTAAACAAATAATTAAAACTTAAACCCGTTCTGAAAAGGATTTTTAACTGCTTCCAGACAAAGAAAGCCAAACTAAAGGACGACGTGGTAGAATTCAGTAAAAAGGAAAAGCGTAAGAAGAAAATGTAAAAAAATAATGAGTAAGTGAATTCAAAAGAAAAAGGTAAAGCCAAATGTAACATATAGCTCAAAAAGGAGTTTAATGAACCACTGTAAAAAAAAAGTTGACGCATTTCTCGGTAACCCCTAGTGGGGTGTTTTAAGAATTTCGCACTTCTATCCTCTCTCTGTTTTTATTGAACGATTGGGCAATTTAGTCTCATTGCAGTCGAGATGTTTTAAGTCATTCTCTCATGTTGAAATGAAGATTGTTCAAGTGAGGTCATTTTTGCGCCGGAGAGAGACGTACATTTGATTTTCTGGAAAATGTTTGTGTTCTGAAAGGCGTTAATTACTTCTTGGGAAAAAATTGTGCCGTTGAATTATTATAAATGAAAAATAACAGGTCGCAAAAACAACATTCAAAAGAATTGACAGCGAAAGCTTAAGTGAAATAATGAATATGTAAAGAATTTCATATATTTGAACTAAAACCGCGGAATGAAGAGATAGATGGAAGATTCTTGCAGTTTTTAAAGTGGCAATTTATGCAGTTTCAAGGAGAAAGCCTGAAAAATTCAGGCTTGTCGCTATTCGAACCCAGACTTCTGCGATGCTGGTTCATCGCTCAAACCAAACAGAAAGCTACCAGCAAGCCAACTAGGAGCTAGTCATTAAATTGGTTGGTAATATAACCGGCAAAGATAAAGATGAAATACTGTATCCTCTATTAAGCCCACCGGGGGGCTTATTTATTTCAAACCTATTTGAGGTGGGGGACCGGGAGGCTTATTAGAGAGGGGGGAGCATATTTCATTTACTAAGCACGGACGATGATATCAGTTCTCCAAAAAAACTAGAATGCAAAGTAGAAAATCTCAGGGACATGAAGTTGGAGGTCATTCAGCCAAAGATCAAAAACAAATCCGAACTTCCAGTTGGTGAAAAAACCATCCCGGATCAGTCCACACGATGTTTTACAGTCGTGATTGAATAATACAGTCTATCATTTAGTGGAGAATGAGACTTATTTGAGAGGGGTAGGGGTGGGGGGGGGGGGGGCTTAATAGAGGATTTACGGTAATGAATATATGAATTCAAGAGAGAAGGAGCTAAGAGAGCGAATCCCTGTGCCTGATAATAATTTTTTTAAATCTATTTAAAGAATTTCATATATTTGAACCAAACCCGGCGGAATGAAGAAACAAATTGAAAATTCTCGCAGTTGAAGTGGCAATTTATTCAAATAACTATTAGACAGACTATTCAGTAGACAGAACATTTAAAAGGTTTTTCGCTGTTTCTGTTGGGTTTTCATCAGTGGTAAGATATTCAGTCATAGAAACAGCACGCAGATAAAAGGTGTCAGTAAAGCCAGGTTAACGAAATAAGAGAATTTGTCTCGGAACACAAAAAAGTATCCGTTGTCCGTTTTAACAGGTGTCCGTATTGAGCGTGTTATTTTTAGAGAAAAAAATATGAGCTTTTCGTGGCGACAAACAAAACTGTCCGTTATAAACGACTGCCTGTAGAGTGAGGTTCCACTAATATGGTCTGAAATTCCCCAGCATTAATCTAAAAATGAAAAAGAGAAGCAAACCATAAGGTCAATATATATGTTCAAGTGCAGCACGACCACATCGACAAACCGTTGAGTGGTGCTGATCTCTTGTAGACCTGGAACCGAAACTAAAGAAAAGGAGATGGCAGACAGGCGGTGAAATTAAAAATAACTGACAGAGTGATTGGTAGGTGACATAAGGCTACGATAAGTTAGTTATCATTAAAGAGATTTAGAATCACGTCTACGGCAAACGTCAAATTCAAGCAAATAATTTTTCAGAATAGGTCTTAATCACTGAGATAAAAACTGTCCAAAACTATAATTCTCATGGATGAAACTGGCGTGAAATTTTTATTTTTTTTTGTGGGTATAATAAACAGTAAACGACATTTCATAAGAAAAAACATGGCCATGTGGTACAAACTAACGTCTACCGTTCGCCGTCAGAAACAAGATTCTAAATCTCTCTATTATTTTCAGTTTTTCGTCCCTGAGGAAGATTTGTCTTTCAATCCAAAATATCAGGAAAATTTTTTGAAATACATATTTTATATCTTTTATTTTACCGTACTTACCATATTTTAGCTTGTTCCGGCCAGGCGTTCAGCCCGGTCTCCCCACGTTTTCCCCACGCACAATTTAACTCGCTCCCCTCCATTTGAACTTCGCGCTCTACTATCCGAACGCCTTGAATAGGCTAACCATATTTTGTTTACTTCTTTATCGCTTTGCCATCAGACCCATCAGGATCAGTCTGCCGTGTGTAATTTTTATCATGTCAAGTGCATGAATTTGAATTCAGACGTGATAGCGTAAAAAGCCAAGTCAGT